ACCCCATCCATTCCCTCAGCATCACCCAGGATCCCATTCCATCCCATTTTCCCGTGCTGATTCCTGGCTCCAAGCTCTCAGATTGCTGTGGGTGCAGAGCTGAGGCCTCAATTCCCTCCCTGAGGGTTGTGGAGCCTCCCTGGATCTCGTTCCTCCCTTGGGTTCCTCCTGCAGCTCCTCCCTGTTTTCCTTGGAGCTCAAAGGAGCAGTGGAACGTTCCTGCTCCGGGATTTTTTGTGGGGATTTAGTGGGATTTGTGTCCCCTCTTCTTGCTTTTTGGAGTTCTTTCCTGCTTTTTGGAGTCTTTTCCTGCTTTTTGGAATCTTTTCCTGCTTTTTGGAGTCCATTCCTACCTTTTGGGGTCTCTTCCTGCTTTTTGGAGTCCCTTCCTGCTTTTTGGAGTCTTTTCCTGCTTTTTTTGAATTATTTCCTGCTTTTTGAGTCCATTCCTACCTTTTGGGGTCTCTTCCTGCTTTTTGGAGTCTTTTCCTGCTTTTTGGAATCTTTTCCTGCTTTTTGGGGTCCATTACTGCCTTTTGGGGTCCCTTCCTGCTTTTTTGGGGTCTCTTCCTTCTTTTTGGAATATTTTCCTGCTTTTTGGAATCTTTTCCTGCTTTTTGGAGTCCATTCCTACCTTTTGGGGTCTATTCCTGCCTTTTGGGGTCCCTTTCTGCTTTTTGGGGTCTCTTCCTTCTTTTTGGAATATTTTCCTGCTTTTTGGAGTCCATTCCTGCCTTTTGGGTCCGTTCCTGCCTTTTTGAGTCTTTTTCTGCTTTTTGGAGTCCCTTCCTGCTTTTTGGAATATTTTCCTGCTTTTTTGAATTCTTTCCTGCTTTTTGGGATCCATTCCTGCCTTTTGGGATCCCTTCCTGCTTTTTGGGGTATTTTCTTGCTTTCTTCAGTTCTTTCCTGCCTTTTGGAGTTCATTCCTGCTTTTTTGAGTCCATTCCTGCTTTTTGGGGTCCCTTCCTTTTTTTGGAATCTTTTCCTGCTCTTTGGAGTTCTTTTCTGCATTTTTGAATTCTTTCCTGCTTTTTGGAGTCTCCTCCTGCTTTTGGAGTCTTTTCCTGCTTTTCAGAAATTATCTCCTGCATTTTTGACTCCATCCCTTTCCTTTTGGAGTTCTCTCCTGATTTTTTGAGTCCTTTCCTACTTTTTGGGGTCCCTTCCTCCTTCTTTCTCTCTGTCTCCCTGCCCTCCCCTGCAGTTACCAAACCGAGATAACAAAAACCAGGAACACATCTCTGTTCTGGGATATTCTGGGATGCATTTCCCTCAGTTTCTCCTCATGCCTTTTACCCATRGCCATTCCAGATCYTTAACCTCRCWTTTTTTCCCCATTTCTCACAGAGCCTCTCGGAGAAATCCTGCAAAGTTTTCCGCATTTTCCGCCAGTGGGAGAGCATGAACTCCTC